GATTTGAAGAGAACCAGAACCTGTGATTAGGAAAATTCCACTAGCTATTTGAAGAAAGCCTTGTCCACCTCTTCCTTCTGGTCTGGTGGACTGTAGCAGACACCTTGCTTCATAGATTTCATAGACATTAGGGCTGGAAGGGACCTTGTAAGATCATCCAGTCCAGCCCCCTGCCCAAGGGGCAGGAATTCAGTTAGGGTCACAGGATCCCAGCAAGATAGACATCCAAATGTGTCTTAAAAGTGTCCAGAGTAGGTGCTTGCATCACCTCTGGGGGGAGTCAGTAAAGAAGTTTTTTCCTTATGTCCAGCTCTCCCCTCTGACCCTAGTCCAATGACTTTCATCAGGCTTGTCTCCAATTTCATATTGGAGCTCTGAAAAATCATACAGCTCTTTTACATAAAGTGCAACCCCTCCTTTTTTTCTGGAGCAGTTTATACCCATCCATGACAGTAATCGAGGCATGTGAGCTATCCTAACATGTCTCTGTTATTTCAGTCACGTCGTAGTTCTGTGACTGTGCAAGGACTTCCAGTTCTTCCTGCTCGTTTCCCAGGCTCTGTGCATTCGTGTACAGCACCTGAAGTAACTAGTTGATTGTTCTCCTTACTGAGGAAGAAGTAGAAGACCTCTTCTGTTGCCTGCTCCTGCTTGTGCTTCCCCCAGGTCATATACTTTCCTACTTAACTCAGGGCTTTGGTATCTCTCTCCTGGTTTATCTAGTTTTAAATCCCTCCTCACTAGGTTAGGAAGGCTGTCTGTGATGATCCTCTTCTATCTCTTCATCAGGTGGGTCCCATCTCCGCCTAGCAGCGCTTCTTCTTGAAACAACATCCTGTAGTTGAAGAAGTCAAAGCCATTCTGGCGACACCAGCTGCACAGCCATGCATTGATCTGCAGGATGTGTCTGCTCCTCTCCGGGCCTTTCCTCTTGACCAGAATGATTAAGAACACCACCTAAGCCCCTGTCCCCTTCAGTCTTGGACCCAGAGCTCTGTAGTCACTCTAGATCCGCTCAGGGTTACCCCTGGTGGTATCATGGGTGCCCACATGGGTGAGCAGCATGGGGTAGTAGTTAGAGGGCCAGATGATTCTTGGCAATCCTTCTGTGACATCTCAGATCTGGGCTCTGGGCAAGGAGCAGACCTCCTGAGACATCTGCTGGCCTGACCTGCTAAATGTCTCCACCCCCTCCGTGGAAAGGAGTCTCCAAACACCACCACCCATTGCTTCATTTTGTGGCAGTGGTCTCAATCCTCCCAACCCTGGGTATGCTTGGCCTGGCCTCTTCCACCCATGGAATGTGCTCCTTCCCCTTTGTTGCTAGGGCTCCATATCTTTTCTCTAGGCAAACCGCAGCGGGCGGAGATGAGGACTTCTGCTTGCCCTGAAATGTTTCATGGTGTTTCTTTTAAGTTTACACTGGCAGCTTTAATATGTGCAACCACATCTATTCCTGCTATTTTTTCCGCCTTCATCTGCATTGATACAAACCTGCATATAAAACTTAGTTTTTTTTGTTGGGAGCATAAAAAAGTGTCAGTTCTGCAGTGTGAGTCTGTTGACAAAGATATAAATTAGAATCCTGTAACTTTCTTGGAAGCACAGCCTTTTGTAGTATATATTCCTGTGTGTTGATGAACTACTTCTTAGGACTTCCTCATTTTAGTTCCTTTTCGTACAAAAAGATTCATTCTTAATCCCGTGGCCTAGTACTCTGTAGACTTCGGTATTTCCACTTCAGTGTTTCAACAAGTTCCATTTTGTCTTTAGGAATTAGAGTTAAATATTTAGGTGTTTTGTAGGCAGGAATAATTTACATATTATATTAATTGTACCTAGGTATGTGCAGCCCTAAAATCATAAAGGGTTCAACACACAGATAGGTTAATCCAAGTGTTATGTCTGCATGTACTAACTAGGATTAGGTCACTCTAAGTGCCAAATTGTACACGTATTCAGGGTCTCCGGATAGGGCAAAAAATGGCCGGTCCAAACTAAACTAGTTCACCTGAGGAGGTGTGCTGCATAGATCAGGCTAATCTGTGCCTGAATGTGTGCATATTTGGAGCTTAGTCCCAGGGCTGGGAAAGCCCAGCTGCTTGCCCCACCCCTGGGGCTCTGCTTTTTCTATCTCTTCACCCTGACCAGGTTATCTTTTAGGCCTCCAAGCTCTCTCTACCCCCAGCTGGATGACCCTCCCCCCACTTGCAGACCTGCTAGCCCCTCCCTTGATCCTGCCTGTCAATCCCCCAAACCCTGGCTCATATTTCTGGCATAGCTCCCAGCACCAGTGAATGTGTGCACAACTGGGGACCCAACTGACAGTCATGTTGCTTGAAGTAAGCTGTGTTATCCTAGATTGGGTCCTGGGAACATCTGCATGTGAATGATGTGTCCTTAAGTAGTGCATAGTTTGAGTGCATAGCTTTTTGTTCTATATTGAAATAGTAATTTAGGGTTAATTTGTTTATGCCTGCTACTGATATGAATGATCTGGGCACCTTCATATAAAAAATAAAAGTTTCTGATTTTGACTTCCAGGCTTCTGTTCATTTTACCAGTATCAGAAAGCAGTGAGGTGAAAAGGCATCCTTTGGGAACCCAGATAACCAAAGGTAAGCATGGATGTTACTGTGATGTACATAGATAAATGCTGTTGGATACTCCAGTTTAATTTTAAAATTGCTTTGAAAACTTTTCCACCACATCTGCATGTAATATTACTGTTCCCAGCAGTGACGCCCTCAGATGTTTCTCGGTTCTCCATGTGGGCTGCCCCAGGAAGCAGCAACAGTACTGTGAGAAGGGTAATTAGTGTGGGGCTTGGCTAATTGGCATGGTCATGCAGCAGTGCCTGCAGTACCACATAGAGGTGGCTATACTGCTTCCAGCACAGGAGGTAGCATGAAGCAGCATGGCATGTTTGGCGGTGCTGGTGCCAGGTTCATTTAGTTTGTGGTCTAGACATGGCCTTTTTCATAATGATTTAATCTATATACAAAAAATGTAGGCACATGCAGAGCTCTGTTTGACTGTAGCAACAGTCAGTTGTGCTGATAAAAAAACTTGAATGTACGTATGGATATTTTTTTTCAACTTGTGGCTTTAGTCTGCTAGTTTTGGAGAGGCTTGGTCATTGATCTAACTTTGATTTATTTTAGTGATAAATAGACATCTGCTTTGGGTTATAACATTTCCTGGTAAAAATTCTGACTATTTTGTTTATTTTGTTACTCTGTCTAATAAATTGGACAACTGCAAAATTTAAATGAATGATTAATAGGTATGATGTCACTCAAATAAGTTGGAAGAAATGGTTTTATCTTTAATTTGATTAGGAAAGGTCTAATATACAAGCCTTTATCATACTTAGCACCAGGACCATTTGCAAAAAAAAAAAAAGTGACTTTTCATGTCCCCAAATTATTACTTACTTATTGCCGTTACAAAATTGAGCATGTGATGATGATTTTTCTAAAAGCTAGCCCTGCATTGGGATTTTGAAGATCAAGCTGGGTTGTTTTCTCTGAGGTATCACGGCTAGCAATGGCCTGGCTGATAGCCCCTATGGTCATTGTTTTCCACAGGTGAATGAGAACTTGGTAAACAATCATGTTTGTGTTTGGGAAGCCCAAATCTTGTATTCATGTCAATGTTGGTGGTATGTTATGAATAGGCCTAATAGCAGTGTTTAATAAAACCACCCCCAAAAAAACAAACAAACAAACAAACAAATAATTTTTTCATTATTTAAATTAGGTAATAGAATATGAAAAAAGTACAGGTTTTGTTGAATAACCTGTGATATTATCAATATTTTTCTAACTGGCTCCTTTTAAATAATTTGTTTTTGTGTCCTGAATCATATGCATTCTTACAGGGGGACAGAGAAACACTGATAAATCTCTGCAATAACTCTCTTACATAGTTAAAGAAAGAGGCAACACTAAAGGACAACTTACATTAAGGAACACTTCCTAGAAAAGTTTCTGAAAACTATACTCGGTCTTACTCATAGTATAGCTCTGTGTTATTTTTCTGTTACTTAGTCCACCTCCTCCTGCAAGCTTATGTAAAAACAGGACATTTTGTGCACTGTGGTTGATTCCGAAGGGAAAATGCCAAATATATTTTTGAGTCAGGAATAAATTATCACCCGTAGGAATGATTTAACAGTAACGAGGGGCGAACACCTCAAAAGGTGGAAACATTTTTCCGATCTTTCATTTGTACTTGATGCATTGTAAGCAAAAGTTCCTGAGAGTCATATTTTCAGTGCACCGCTAGTGCCATGGACTGAAAGTATGGTGTACAGAATCAAAATACCAAGACCTTGCAGCATCGGACCTGTCTGTCCTCATCCTCCTGCTGCCTTTAAAGTTGGAAGCCTTTAATTTCTGATAAAGGCATGTGGGATTCACTGTATTCAGTGAAATGCCACAGCTGCCTTCCTGGACCTGCTACTGGATATACAAGATGAAAAGGAGGATGTGTGATGGTGGCAGAAACCTCACTGCATATGTACAGCAAGCTCTCTGCCCTAGTCTGGCAGCCAAGACCAGAGTTCTCAGTGGTACACTGGCACTGAAGTGGGGTGTGCACCCATCCTGGATCTTCTGTATCTGCCCAGTGTTTCTTTCATAGGAGCTCTTGATGTTTTCCTGATATGAGAAATAGAGTATTTGCAAGGAAATGTTTCTTTGCTAAATTTAAAGGAACAAAAGTGGTAAGGAACACATTTCATTTCCAAGCGTCATCGAGAATATGGCATTACAGACAAGAGGAGATAATAGATTTGGGGGAATATAGCTATTCTGATGCTGTCTTTTGTACTTTTTAATTAGAATTTCTCATTTATTTTAAACTTCCTCCTTCCCTTTTTGCCTTTCATAGGATGTTGCTTAAAATATACATACACTAAAGATGCAATAGCATTAAAGTTTAACACCATTCCTAAATACTGTTTCCTTAAAATTGGACATTATGCAAACTGAATTTTTGATGGTCTGTTTGTATGGTTACAGACAAAAGAGCTAGCGTCCCCAAGTAGAGTTATTTGGCGATTTATAACCTAGGGTACAGGTAAAGCCTAGTGCTTACTGAAATCCACAATTTGGTAATTTGTCTTCACTGAGGATTGTAAATGTGAGGTACAGGTATTTAAAGAGCCTGAGGCAGAAATGATCTAAGTCGCGCAGTTTTCTGAAAGCAATGTAGTTCAGATTGGTAGTGAACAGAACAGACATTCTACCGTTTGATGGGTGATAGACTGGGTTCTGCCGTTTTTAAACCAGTCTGTGCTTCTGTTTTGTTATAGGTCTAGACTGGTTTTGTGTGCCAAACTTCTGTTCAGTTGCAGGTCTGGACCAATTTCTGATCACTTATACTGATAAAAGTATAATGTCTGTACCTGGCCTGTATAAGTATGGTAATGTTATAAGGCATGGTTGCCAATCTCATAGTGCTGAGGAATGATGCATTCCTACTGTGCTGGCTGAGTCAAAAATAAAATAATACTTTTTGGTGACTTGGCAAACGTTTAGGTTGGTTAAGAGACTGTTTCCTGGAAAAGACAGAACTGAAAATTGAAAGCAGGACCAGTACTCTGAAAAATGGTGTTCTTTGTAAAGTTAATTAGGCTGCTTATGGAAATTTGTAGGGGCGTAAGGTTGCCAAAAAAAAAAAAGTCCCAGTATGTGCTGGAAAAGAAATGTAATGGTGATACAATAACTTTCCCTTTGTGACTCCTCACTGTGTATACTCCTTGATTTGGTCCAAAACCAGTGTAATGGATTGTTTTATAGCTTTAGCACAAAGCCCAAGTTAGGAAGTACTTCATGCTGGCTGAACACAGCATCTGATTACCATCTGGTCATCAAATGCTCCCTGCAGCACAATACAGAAATGACTGCTTTGTTAGGGAATGAACTCCCACTGTGTGTATGTGTATGTGTGGGGTGGGATGGGATGGGAGGGTGGCAGTGGGGAACAGATTAATTGGAAAAGATTTCTTTCTGGGACTGTCTGGAGAACTTTAAACTTCAGTAGTATCCAAAGGTTCAGGAAATACTTAATGGAATTTTAGATCATTTTGTCTAAATTTTGTCCCTTCACAAGCCCTTTAGATTCCTGAAGGTTACACTGCAGTAGAAAATAAGTTACTTTGCTTTTTTTCTTCTATAGTTTTGTATTTATAAAGATGATACATTTACAACCAACATTCTAGATCGTAACATCATTTCTGTTTCTCAGTTAAGACTGGATTTTTTGGGGATTTGGAGCGTTACTTCGGTAATAAAAAGTAGGGAGATGTTACACTTCTATGTTTGTATAGAACTCACTTGAACAGCAACTGCATAAATATTTTGAGTCATCTTTAGATGAATGAAATCTGTAATGTGTGTAAACTTGAGGGGATGCCCACATTCTATGTTGTATATACTTTGTTATATACAACTGGGTAGCGTTATGACCTTAAATTTACAGGAAAAGTAAGTTGAGAAAACAAAATAATAATATTAATTGTGTAGGCCTTTTATTTGGGTCAGTCTCTCAGGGTTTCCCTGTCTTTTCCTTAGTACTGAAATATCTCAAAAGTCAAGTTTTGACTTGGATCAAAGGGGGCAGGAGGGCACAAAAGCCCCCATGGCTCACCAGAAGCATCCGGGAATGTCTCCTAGTTAAAAGGGAGATGCACACCCAGTGGAAGGGAGGGGCCATCACCAGGGAGGATTATACTGGGGATGCAGGGGGGGGCAGTCAGGAAGGCCAAGGCGGAGATGGAACTGGGACTAGCTTCCTGGATCAAGGACGACAAGAAGTCCTTTTTTAAATACATAGGGGGCAAAAAGAAGGTTCTGGGTAACATGGGACCCCTGCAGGACAAGCTAGGAAATTTGGTTGTCACACCAGATGACAAAGCTAACATATTTAACGATTTCTTTGCCTCCATTTTCCTGAGCAGG